ATCACGATGCAGGGGGAGTCTGTCTGGCCTAGGTCCCTCCCTTGTTTAGCCTAGGATCCTGGCTTTTTTCCTTCCCATGGCTTTTTCTTTTCCCTGCACTGAAACCTCCCTCCCTCTAATTTTACTTCCTCAGGCTTGAGAGCCAGCCTGACCAAGAAAGTCATGGCTCTGGGGCACCTGGGTGACTCAGTCGATTAAGCGTCTGACTCCTGATTCTGGCTCAGGTCATGATCTCACAGTTCATGAGTTCGAGCCCCGCATCGGGCTCTGTACTGACAGTACAGGCCCTGCTTGGGATTCTTGCTCTCCCTCTCCCTTCCCCTCCCCTGCTCATACTCTTGCTCTCAAAATAAAGAAAACTTTTAAAAGAATGTCATGGGCTCTGCTAGTCCAAGGAAGAGACTGAAATCACCTAATCAGGGGTGAGCAGACCAATGGCCCACAGGTAAGGTCTGGCCCACTGCATGATTTTGCACAGCCCTTGAGCTAAGAATGGTTTTTACAGTTTTAAATGGTTGAAAAAAATATTTTTTAATGTTTTATTTGTTTTTGAGAGCAAGAGCACGGCAGGGGTGGGAGGTGGAACAGAGGATCTGAAGTGGGCTCTGTGCTGACAGCAGTGAGTCCGATACGGGGTTCGAACTCATGAACCATGAGATCACGACCTGAGCCGAAGTCAGGCGCTCAACCAACTGAGCCACCCAGGCGCCCCTTGAAAAAAATTTTAAGAATATTTCTTGACATGTGAACTGCTCAGTGTCCAGGATAAACAGCTGTACCTGTTCACTTACACGTTGTCTGTGGCCGTTCGCCTAAAACAGCGACAGAGTTTGAGTGCCTACAAACTTCTGACCACCAAAGCCTAAAATAGATTACTGTCTGGCTTTTTACAGATAATGTTTGCCGACACCTGATCTCTGGTTCATCACCAAGATTTAACAGACAAGAAAACCAAGGTTCAAGTGGGAGAACTGAGCTGTCCAAAGGTACACAGCTCATCAGAAATGGATCTGGGAGGCATCTTCCGATGCCCGCCCCGCACTCTTCCCACTGTAGCATAGGGTCCGCCCTAAGATGAGCCCTCCTGTGGACACTCGCCACAGAGGCCAAAGCAGCTTGGGAAAGAAATGTAAATATTTAGGACCCATGGACATGTAAAATCTATGATTTCTTAGAATTTGAATTTTCACTTGCAATCTAGGGCCAGGAAATGTATTCAGCTTAAAATGTATTTGAGCTGCCCAAGTAGGCAGAAGGACGCATCCGTATTTCTGTAGAGTAATTGATTACGTCCTGTGCTCAGCACTTGGACCTGGGCCCTGCCGGCTGAGGTGGTAGGATCTCATTTCAAGAAAAATAACTTGTGGTCTCACTCCAAGTTTTCACTCGAGCAGTTTCAGCAAATTATAAAAGCATATGAGATGGAACTCAGGTCTCCTGTACAGGGACCAAGAAGGAAAATCCCCAAGATGCTAACCTTTGGGAAAGTGAGGTCGCTCCTACTTCCTGGTGCAGATTCTTCTGCGTCCCTCCCCATGTGGTGATCCAATGGCTGATCTCCATGGGATCCCCGGGTTAGAGATCGTCCCAGAGGCCAAGATCGATGAGAGTTGTTGAGGTATAAATAGAAAAGGGGATCTTTTAGTCACTGTGCTCTCCAGCTCCTTGTCAGTTCTCTCTTCCAGCTTTGCAGCGGGTCCCTCCACACCTTTATAGACCGCTGCTGTGACTTCCCAGCCTTCCGGTTTAAACCTGTCCTTCAGAGCCTTCCATCTCTTGGCATGCACTTGAGGGGGCTGCTGGGGTGTTGGGTTCTCCTCAGTTACCTCACCCAGAGGAACAGACCCCTTCCCTCTCCTCCTAGAGTCTCTGACTTCACTGGCCACCCTTGACGCCTCCCCTGTTGCTCATTCCAGCTCCCCGCCCCGAGTAAGGCCCGTTAACCTTAGTACTCTGTCCTTGGGGGCAGGCGTCCAAGTGCTGCTCTCTGGACGTACGTTCTGTCCAAGGTTGTATCCTGCAGTCGTGCTGCTGGTGATCTGACCCAGCACTCTGCATCCCAAGTGGGCCCAAGCTCGCCTACCTCAGCGGCATCCTCCCAGGCCATGGAAACTCTTACCTTCTTACCGCACCACGCAGTGGCAGTGCTGGAAGCTTCCTGTGTCTGCTAGACCCATCCACCCATCCTCTCCTGCCATGCATGTTCCTCACACTATTCTTCAAAGGAACCAGGTTCTGTCCCACAGGTCTCACTTTTCTGCCGTACTGACCCTTTCTCCCCACCCCGTTCCTGATCTGCACACCTGGCTGGTCTCTGCCCCTCGCTTAGGTCCTGCCACGTCATTGAAGAAACTCACCCTGCTCTTTGGACACAAATTTGAGACCCCCTGTTAATTATTTTTAGAAAACCCTCTTACTTCCTTTCATAACACTGATCACAACTATAATTATATGGTAATTTAAGCCATTATCTGCTTGGCTCCGGTAGACTGTCATTTCCTTAGGGCAGGAAGCATGTCTGTCTGATTCCCCGGCACAGGGCCTGGTGTGGAGTGGACCCGAGTACATACAGCCCCAGTACACGCATGAGAGACCAGTAAAACGTTGCAATCGCAGATCGTACAGGAAAGTTTGTTAATTGATGAGAAAAAGTGTTTCTAGAAAACCTGAGACTCAGCTTAAATGCAGCATCCACTCAGAAAACTCTGATTTTCCAGCTCATGCTCAGGTAGCCCCACACGTCTCCCCTCGGAGACCTGGGAGTCTTGGGTAACAAGCACTCAGTTCTCTCCAGGAAGTGTACATGCAAAATAGAGTGAACTCACCTTGTATTCACTTACTCCACCCGGCAGGGTAGAGCTCACATCTGCATAGCATTCAAATCCTTTTGAATTCTTGAGAGTGTGTTATCTTCCAGTAATAGAACCCTTTACTTGCAGTCATGTTGTATGGATACCAGGTGAAATGAAGCTGAGTTAGATCAGCAGGAGCATCAAGTTCAAGCTCTTCTGTCCAGCGAAAGTTCAGTGTGCACATGAGTCCGAATCAATTCAGCAAATATTTACTGAGGACCAACCAGGTGCCAGGGATACTGGTCTGTTGCTGAGAATAAGAAGCTAAAAGATGTGGATCCTGCCCTCCAGGAGGAGGCTCAGCCCTGGTTCTAATTCAGCTTTCCAGCTCAGCCTGCCCCTCTCCTCCTTCCTCCTTCCCCTCCTGTCTCCTTTTTCTTTTCGTGTACCTCAATCCAAGTAGCTTATTTCCAATGGCTTGGGAGAAAGTGAACCAAGAGCAGTGTTTAGGGAATGGATTTGTGTGATCAGCAGCTGTTTCCCCTGGAAAGGAGAGTTTGCAGAGCCCTTGTATGTTCCGTGGGCTTAAAGGCTGGGCTCTGGCATACCTCGGGACAGTCCTGGCTGATAGGTGTGGGCCGCAAAGATGCGCTTGAAGCATAAATTTGAAGATTGCATGGTGTCCCCTGTCCAGCACCTCTGTTCTCCTCATACCGTCATATACATAACTTTTAAGAAATGCTAGTACTTAGGATAGTTGGCTTTTCAGAGGACACCCATGTCTGTGTGTCCTGGGTTGCTACACCCTTGGGGACCCAAGTGACTCTGTGTGGTTTCCTTGTGGCTTGCAGCGCTTCTGAGAGGACCCTGGTTGTCTCCCGCTGTGTTCTGCTCAGTCACCCACTCTCCTCGGTTCTTCCACCTTTCCGACAGCTGCTCAACTCTCTGACAGAGAGTTCACAGCAACTGCCTTTCTCTGCCCGCACCCATTTTTCAACTCCAGAAAGTGGGACCAACGTCATTTGTTCTAGCGGGCCGCCTCCTGGAGGAACGGAGAAAGGCCGACTGAGGGTGGCATCTTGCCCTCAGGCCCCTGGAGACCACTCATTCAGGAGCCGGAGCCTAAGCAAGAAAGTAATTAAGTGTTCTGTCACAGCACACAGTGCATGGAACCCAAAGGGAGCGTTCTCTCATTGAACAGATTCATTTGTGGGGGGTTTCCGTGGATGTTTCAGAAAGGGCTTGCAAGAGCCTTAAATGAAGGCAAATAGGATGTGGGGTAACCAGAGAATAAAAGCAACAGGTTCCACCCAGGACCCAGCTTTCCTCACTAACCCATAACTGGACACTTAAATCACATCATCATCTTATTTAAATTGACTTAAATGGGATCCTAGTTGAGAACTTTCTCTGCCTCTGGTGCTTCCTTAGGTTTCCTGGGTCTTGGGGTGTGAATCCAGGGAGCCTAACATTATTTGAAAACTTTGAATTGCTAAGGAGTTCAGGGAAATTTATCTTCATATTAAAAACCAAGTTAATAGAATTACATAGAGCTGGAAAGAACCTTAGCACTTAGGGAAGCCATCCCTTTATTTTGTCACTGAGGAAGGCTAGGATCCTGAGACTTAAAGCATTTTGTTGCTCCCTGGTTCTCTTCAGTATCTAGTTCGTTTGTCTGTGATTATTACCCAACGAGAAAAAAACCCCACAAATTGGAACTAAAGTGTAGTTTGAAAAGGTGCTTTGGTTTTTTGCTGGCCCTTTATGCAGAATCAGGTGCGCACACACACACACACACGTGTGCTCGTGTCCCCGTTCTCTGCAGTCTCAGCCACAGCGCTAATCCGGGACCCAGAGCGCGTGCGAGCTGGGGAGCACCCAGCTGCTCTGTCGACCATGAGACCCCCCACTTTGCAGACGCCCAGCGAGGATGTGCGGGCCACCTCATTTCACAACCCCCACCCCCCACCTTCAGAGGCATTTCTGGGACACCCAGCTTCCTCCGAACAGGGACACTCCTGCTACTTAGAAATGAAGCGTGCACAGATTTATTTAAGAAACATACGAACTGACACAAAATCACTTGTATATAAAATTGTCTTATGTTCCTTAGGGCCTCCGGTTGGGGCACTTTCTGTGCCCCCTTCTGTAGCCTTCAGAAAGGAGTCCTGCATTGCTCTCTCCCTTTCTTTTTTTTCCAACCCCCAGCATATAAATAATGACCATATTCATGGTGAGAAGAAGGAATTTGTGTGCCGATGGTTGGATTGCTCGAGAGAGCAGAAGCCCTTCAAAGCCCAGTACATGCTGGTGGTGCACATGAGGAGACACACGGGGGAGAAGCCTCACAAATGCACTGTGAGTGTGCGGCACAGGCTGCTGGCTTGGGGCCATCTGGCACTAGTGCGTGTCAGGTTGGGGTTCAGGGTCACCCGCGGGCCTCTACACGCTATGCTGATGAACCTAGCTGAGGGGGGTGCGGCTGGGTGGCTGGAGGCACGGGGGTCTGTGTTGAATGCCGGTAGTTCTGAGAAGGGGTTCTGAAATGGGGGGGATTGCCAGAAGTGGAGAGCAACAGCCACGTTTTGGGGGACAGTAGAAGTCGTCTGCGCTGTCCAACAAGGTGGCCATGAGCCACATGTGCCTCTTGGGTGCTTTTGAGACTTGCCCAGAGCAACCAAGGAACTGATAATTTTTTAATTTAAAAAATTTTTTAATTTTTTAATGTTTATTTTTGAGAGAGAGAGAGGCGGGGGAGGGGCCGAGAGAGAGGGAGACCCAGAATCCAAAGGCAGGTTCCAGGCTCTGAGCCATCAGCACAGAGCCCAATGCAGGGCTTGAACTCACCGACCGTGAGATCATGACCTGAGCTGAAGTTGGACGTTTAACCGACTGAGCCACCCAGGTGCCCCTTAATTTAATTTAATTTAATTTAATTTAATTTAATTTAAAGAACAGTAAATATAAAGTCAGCCTCTGCTGGCAAGCAGCTAGCACATCAGATAGCACAGCTGTGCGGAGTGGCAAGTGAGCAGCAGTGGCTGGGACGCCCTGGCGGGCACTGGGAATAAGCATGTGACCACCACGCCGGCCCCAGCACAAATGCCCATCACGCTGGAGGACTCGGAGGGCAGAAGGAGGTGCGAGCCTGGACTTGAAACACTTGAGTTCACTTTTAAAAGTATAACCCAGATGACTTGAGAGTTTTTCTTTGCCTTCCTAGTCTGTCCCCATGGCCTGGTATCGACCCGCAGGGTGGCTGGGACTCAGCCTCTTTCCCTGAGGTGCCTCCAAACACATGGGCACTGCTCAGCCCTGCACTTTACATCTTAAAGGCCCTTTACAAACATGATCAAATTCCGTGCCTTTGTATGGACACAAAGCCATATTAGTGAACTTTGTGCTGAATCTAAAATCAGTGGGAATTTGAGGAGATCAGTGAGCAGATAATGAAGCCCATTGTGCACATTGAGTGGTCTATTAAAAAAAAAAAAAAAGACCTCCAGGACTTTTACTAGCCCCGAAAATGCAGTCTCTTGAACTGCACTGAGCCCCATCTGAATCCCAATAAATGCAGAGTTTAGTGGACTTTTGTTCCTCGGTTTTGAAAAGCTGCTGACCCTCCAGACGTCAGTCTTTCATCAACTCTGAGGGACTGTTGGGCATTAGCCGGGATTGTGTGGAGTAATGCAGATTTACCTGTTGTCCCCAGTTTGAAGGTTGCACAAAGGCCTACTCGAGACTAGAAAACTTGAAAACGCACTTGAGATCCCACACTGGAGAGAAACCGTACGTCTGTGAGCATGAAGGTTGCAACAAGGCTTTCTCAAATGCCTCCGATCGCGCCAAGCACCAAAACAGGACGCATTCCAATGAGGTGAGGCTCCTCCATGAGACATTCTTTGGGCCCAGAGCTCGTGGTGCAAACAAAGAGCCCTCGTGGGCAATGCACACGGAGGGGAGGCCCATCCCGTCTGATTTCCTGTCTGCCATCCCCAGCATGAGCGTGCACTGGCTGCGGCTGCAGGTGGGAGCCCGGAGCCTCAAAGGTAGGGGCTGAAAAGGGGCCTGGTTTGCCGCGGAATGCAGATCAGGAGGGAACTTCAAACCCCTGACTAGTCTCACGTTGTTCAGAACTGCCACCTACTGGTCAAATAGTCGGAGCATTTAACTGTGGCATTGCTACCGCTTGCTCCGCCTGGAATAGCACGGATCCATGCAGAGGACGACCCTGTAAGCACCCAGGATAGATCAGAAGCAGTGTGCTGACAGCTGATAGCTTACTGCTAAGACAGCCACTTTTGTTTGCTTTCTCCAGGTGGTATCTTTAAATGCATTATATCCAAAAAGACTTTCACAGGGCAACCAGCCTTGGCTAAACAGGATTTCCAGACATTCTCAATTCCAGAGGATCTTGGGAGAGCTATTCTCAGCAAGCCAGAATGGTTGCTGGTCAGTCATTTAAGACCGCATATTGAATAAAAGCCCCATGGTTAATGGGTGGTTCCTGCTGTGTTGCTGTTATTTGTAGGTACTTATCCCCCCAAAATGTCAGAAGGAGCGTAAGAATGAAAATGATTCCAAACCATTTTGCTTATGTTCTCGTTTTTTTTTTAATTTTTATTCATTTTTGAGAGAGACAGAGCACGAGCAGGGAAGGGGCAGAGAGAGAGAGGGAGACACAGAAACCGAAGCAGGCTCCGGGTTCTGAGCTGTCAGCACAAAGCCCGATGCAGGGCTTGAACCCACGAACCGTGAGATCATGACCTGAGCCCAAGTCGGACCCTTAACCCGCTGAGCCGCCCGGGTGCCCCTGTTTTGCCTGTGTTTTAATGCATGTCTACCTGTAGGCCTCCAGCTTCTATTTGAAGGTCTAGCTCAAGTTCTGACTTGTCTGTGATGCCTTCTCTTGAATGAATCCAGAGATGAACAAAAAAGCTCTTCACGTTTTGGGTAAAAATGCGATGGCTGGCCAGAATTTGTCAACAGGAGACATCGTTCTGCCCCGCTAAGCACGTCATCAGTGCGGTTGCAGTGTGTGAGAGAGGAGCATTTGACCTTTCAGCTCAGGGACCATTGGCTTTAAGGTCCTTGCCAAATGTCCCTTCAGCTTAAGGGACAGAGCAAAAATATCTCTGAAGAGATTAACGACACTTTTTTTTTTTTTTTTTAAGTTTATCTCTTTATTTTGAGAGAGAGGGAGAAAGAGTACGAGCAGGGGAACAGCAGAGAGAAAGGGACAGAGAGAATCCCATGCAGGCTCTGCAGTGTCAGCACAGAGTCCGATGCATACCGCGAGATCATGACCTGAGCAGAAATCAAGAATCAGACGCTTAACCCCCTGAGCCACCCAAGCGTCCCCCACACTTTCTTAAAAGCACACTCACACTGAAGCTCATATGTGCAGGTTCACATGTGTGAACTCTTTTTGAAAGGGTCATGGTGGACTAAGGAGATTGCATCCTTTGGAATCTCATTATTAGTCAACTGTTTGAGGATGCTTTGGGGGAGATCCCACATACCCATATTTTCACGTCAAAAATGCTTTTACAGGGGCACCTGGGTGGCTCAGTCGGTTGGGCACCCGACTCCGCTCAGGTTGTGATTTCCCAGTTCGTGGGTTCAAGCCCAGCATCAGGCTGTGTGCTGACAGCTCAGAGCCCGGAGCCTGCTTCGGATTCTGTGTGTCCCTCTCTCTCTCTGCCCCTCCCCCGCTCATGCTCTGTCTCTCTCTGTGTCTCTCAAATATAAACAAAGGAAAATATTTTAAAACATAATAAAAAAGCTTTTACTACCCGTACTTCTTGTAGTGCCACCTACTGTACTTGTTTTGTGAGAACCTCTAGGGAGTCTAGGCGAATCCATAGAGACAGAAAGCAGGTAAGTGGTTGCCAGAGGCTGAGGGGAAGGGAATAGGGTAAGGATTTCTTTTGGGGGTGATGAAAACATCCTAGAATTTGATTGATAGTAGTGACAGTTGCACAAGATTGCGGATGTACAAAATGCCACTGCACTGTGCAATTTCGAAGTGTTCTTTTAATGGTGTGTGAATTATATCTCAGTTTAAAATGTTTTAGGGAATGCGATTAACTTAGAATTAAATTAAAATACTTAACTGCATTCCATATATATATATATATATATATATATATATATATATGCACAATTATGACTAGAAATTTAGAAGACATTCATTCCTATAGTATATAGGCCCAGGGCCCAGGGCCCATCCCTGTTCTTATGGAGAAATTGGGGCAGTGAGTGTGTTAAGATTAGTGGTATGCACATGTACAGACATACTTACTCAGCTTTGTGTCTTTCTTATGGACCTAAAATATGTGCCCCGCAGTTTGCTATGCTTAAATGCATTACAGCTAAGCTTGTACACTTCTGTGAGGTAAAAAGTGCAATGCTGTATGAAAGTTTATCCATTAGGAGAGTAATAGATACCTCGGTCAGTCCTCTCTTTCACCAGGGTGGAACAGTTTATCTAAAATAAATTAACAGCCTTGAGCATGCAAGGCTTGGGCCTTCCGAATGATGGACATTTTCACATCCACCAAAATTAAGTTTGTCCAGGAAGTCTAGATTTGTGTCATAAGACAGTCCTAGATAATCCTAGATATCTTCTTTCACTTATGTGCTTTCTTATTTGTACTTTCATTCATTCGCTAAACAAATAGGGAGAGCTAGTTAGGTGACACAGCGCCTTGCTGTTCCACGTTCGGCACAGAATACCGTGGGCTAGAAGCCAGTCTGGCCCTCCCCACCCACCCCCAGGCTGCCTCACCCATGTGGGGCCATAGCAGTGACCTCTGCCAGGGACCCTTCCTCCAGACCACACAGCTTATGTCCTCCCAAAGCCACACTAAACAAGTTTCCTTGGGGTCTGACTCGGTTGTATCTCCTTCTCCAGAAAGTTCCAATGGCTCCCTCTTACCTTTAGGGAAAGTTTAGACTCCCTGGGCTTGTACCTGCTGTCACTGGGCCCAAGCCTGCCCTTCCAGGCTTGACCTCTTACCTTTGTGGCTGTGAATGGCACTGACAGCCATGCCCCTGTGCACGAAGCGGTCCTGACTCTGGACCTTGGCTTTTCTTTCGCATCCCCTTCCCTCATTTTTATCCCTCAGAATCTTGTTCTTCTTTCAGGACCCAGCTGCAATGCCTCCTCCTAATAAAGTTCTGTTCATTGAGTAATTACTGTGTGCAACACATCAGGGTGAGCATTTCGTGTATGTTGTCCTGTTTAACCCTTACCATGACCCAGTGAGCTGGGCATTATACCCAGATGTAAAAACTTAATAACCGATGCCTCCTCCAATCACCCCAACTGAAAAATGGTTCCCCTGTGTCCACCTCACTCTGTAGCATTCAGAGTTTACCCTGGTGATAATTACGTGCTGTCATATTTCTCCTGCGTATTTTATATCCCCTGACATCAACTCCTGCGGTATATAACTTTGTGTTCACAGAGTCTTGCATAGAGTAGGGACCACGAAATGTTTATTGAAAAATCTAGTTGGGTAAATTCTACAAAGTCAAGTACACAAAAGTATCCATGGCTTTCACAAAGTACCTTCGGTTCAGGGGGTCAAAAAGAAGACAGCCATGGCAGAAGTTGAGTTATCTCGGACCATGAGACCGGCAACATTTATCTTCACCTACAGTTCTGTTTCATCTCAGCCATTGATCACAACTGAATTTGGAGGCGAAGCCACGTAATTGGGTTAATGTGTTTTTTCGTTAACGCATTAAGTTTCCTGAACCCGTGTTCTGATGGTTTTTTTTAAGGGGATAGTGTGTATGCTCACACATAAGAGCACATGGATGGGTCCATATGTACTTGTAGGTGCTGTCGGTCCTGGAAGCATAGACTCTCCATTTCTAGCTGTGTCCTCCTTTCCCAACTAACCCATAGTATACACATGCATATATTTATGGGAACAGGAGCTTCTCAGACGCATAGTGCTGGCCTGGCTGTGTGCCCTCCCCCGGCCCAACCCCTCCCTGACACCTGCACCGCACATCCCAGTGTTCCCGCTGATGGAACAGCCTGTCATGGCAGTGAGGTGAGCAGGCACAGGGCCGATGTCAGAACACTATAAGGTAATGGCCCTGATCGCTGGAGCCATTCTTCTGTCCCTAATGCATAGAATTTGATGTGCTCGTCTCATTATATATATGCTGCAAATCACACAAGCCTCTGAATAGAAGTAATTCATAGTTAATGGGAATCAATTCTACCCAAAAGAATCGCAAATTTGGAGGTGAAGTCTCTCGGGATAATTTTCGGAGTCTTCACTTACTACATTAGGACATTTCATCGTTTTATGTAGCACTCAGTCTGTTCTTGGGCTTTTAGTGAAAAAGCATCTTTTAGACACATACATTCTTTAAGACAGGACATCTTTTTTAATATAATGGGTACATTACATTAATCATGCTTTTTATGACTATCACTTACCTAATAGCTTACCTTCTGATATACATAGACATCTACTCATATAAGCACTCATGCATATATTATATTTCAAACCAGGTAAACAAGATCTCAGTTCTGATGTTGGTCATGAGTCGGTGACAGTGATTCTGTGATTTCAGTGAATAATTTAGCTATAAGCATCCATATACTTTTTAATGACAGCATTTGTAGGTTTGATCGCTGGCCCACAAAGGAAATGAAATAATTCACAGGCCTCAGTGTTGAAGAGCAAAGCCTAGATCAGGAACCCTCATGTCCAGGACACCATCCAACAGCCCTTCTCAGTTTGTGAGTGAGCTTTCATAGACGGTCTAACAGGGCTTTAGAGCTTTGAAAATCCGAAAGGTTCTGGATATTCAGAGCCCTGATCATCCCAGACCGTGGTAATGCCACCCAAACGGGCATATTTTAGTGATCTCTAACATTGAAGAGGGGTTGGCAATGTTTTAAAATTATGCCTGTGTATAGAGAGCACATTTCCACAAAGGCTGTAGGGATTTTTTTGGTCTGAGAACCAGGACATCCCTAAGGAATTTCTTCACACAGACCCTCCCCAAGGCATATAGCTTTCTTCTGATTAGGTGACAGGTGTCTTTAAGCCTTCTTCTTAGAAGAAGATGGTGGTCGCTACCACCATCTTTTGTTACCATCATCTTCAAATACCTATTGAGTAGCTACCGTGACACAGGATACTTCTTCCTACTCTCAGGATAAATGTTTCCAAGAACATACAGGCAAGTTACGCGCTCCTCGCTCTCCTAGCACATTCTCTAAAAGAATAGCCTATTAAAGCTAGATTCACTGACCGGTATTCAGATGGCCTTTATTAAACACTTAGTACGTAGAGGCATTTGAACACGTCACAGCTTTGCGGCAGTGCTTTTGAAGGAATTCAAGATACGGTGTGCACCCATGAGACTGTTGGGCTGGGGCGTTATCCCTTTGATAACCGTCTCTTATTTCGTTCCATGTGGCTTTTGGCAGAAACCGTATGTGTGCAAAATCCCAGGCTGCACTAAGCGCTACACAGACCCCAGTTCCCTCCGGAAGCATGTGAAGACAGTGCATGGCCCAGAGGCTCATGTCACCAAGAAGCAGCGTGGGGATATACATCCTCGGCCTCCCCCACCACGAGATTCCGGCAGCCACTCACAGTCCAGGTCACCTGGCCGGCAGACTCAGGGAGCCCTTGGTGAGCAGAAGGACCTCAGCAACACTACCTCAAAGCGGGAAGAATGCCTCCAAGTGAAAGCAGTCAAGGCAGAGAAGCCCATGGTATGTCATTCACTTTCCTTCTGCTTGACCTCAAGCCACCCTAGGTCGTTCTCAAAAGCCAGCTAGGGCATTAGGAGGGACCAGACTGCCCGGGTCCTCACTGCCCTGGGCTCTCTGATTGAAGAGGTCAGGAGCTCAGAGACCTGGGTTCCTTACTCAAGGTGAATCAGTGTAGAAGAGCTCAGAAAAGAGCATCAAGCTTTGCTAACAGTTAGCTAAATCAATCTGGAGCCAGACCACTTTGTTGTGGCAGGTAGAGAGGCATGACTGTCTACATTTTCAGCAGGGCCATAATGCAGAAAATCATCCATTCTATCTTTCTGGAAACATGTTTTTTGTCTTGTGCTTTGCCCGGGTGACCCTGAGATAAATAAGCCGTGGCCCCCGGTCTTTAGGCACTTACAGTCCAGCAGGGTAGACAGACCAGCAATAGGCAAATATTTACAACTCCATGTGCTGGGTCTTTAACACAAGTCTGCATGAGAGCATTCAAGGGGGGAACAAACCACCCGCGCACTTGAGGATGTGACTGGCGAGGCTGAGGGGGTGGCCCTCAAGTACAGCACTTAGAGAGGGGCAGGGGCAGGGCCGCAGAAACCGTGGGGCCCTGGGAGGATGTGCAGAAGTAAAAACGAGTGAGGATAAGAAAGATTAGATTTTACTGGTGATGGGGAATGACTTGGCACAGCTGGTTTATTTTAGAAAAGCCAGCTTGAGTTCCAGGCTAGGGATTGGCTTGATAGACCAGAGACCATTTCTGCTGTGGTACCTGAACCAAGGAGGCAGAGAGCAAGGGAGGCATTTGAAAGATGTCACAGGGAAAATTCATTCTGGTTTGGTGACTGATGGATGGTTTATGCTATACTCGCAGCTTCTCTCAAACTTCTGTTGGTGATTTTTCTTTATGTATGTGCCATACTGAAACATCTAAAACTTTTTAGAAGATGAGAAAAATGAAAAGAGAAGCTGTCCGAAGAGGTTCAGTACATTTGTATTTGGCAGTGTACCTAATGGAGTCAGCTCTGGGAACGTGTCAGGTTCTGGTCTGGCGCTCTCTGCATATGGAGGAAATGTACCAGGTAGATTTCCTGGTACCAGGAAAGGTACCAGGTACTCCGTGCGCTTAGATTAACAGATGCCTGGAAATGGTCAGGCAGGCATATGTATACTCAGTTTAAGGAAGTGTTTTCTTAAAATGAGGACAGTCCAGCAATCGGGTGGACATCCTGTGAATTCCAGAGTGATATCACTACACAGCAGTACGTATGGGTAAGAAAGAATGCACATTCAGTTCCAGGGTTGACAGAGTGCAGTTGAATGACTGATTGAATTTTAACGACTTACTGAGTTTGTCTTACAAGTTTTAGAAAGCGACATAAAGTCTAGCCAAAAATAATACAAATGAGCTCTCCAGATTTATCATTACTTCCCAGAGGGTAGCTGTATTTTGTTTTTAAAAAGCACCTGAGTCAGAAAAGAAAAAGAAAAGGCACCTTAGTCAAAAGTTGATGTGTGTGTTATGACTCATCACTATAGTTTAAAATTAATTAGTTCACGAGCAGTGTTTTCTATACTTTCTTTCGGGACCACATATCAATTTCCTAAAATAAAGTCCACCTGTACTGTGCAGAACATTCAACAGTTTATCCTCAAGTGTTTAATGAAACAAGGAAAATGAATCTGTAGTCTCCTAGATTATGTCATCGAGAGACAATGATTTATGTTCTTTGGACATCCTACGGACCCAGAGCCTCTCGTACCTTTAATGTACATCCCTAGCCCAAGGAAACTTGTCATCTCCTCTCCAAACACCCATTATTTAAAAAGAAAATTGGTAGAAATAGGAACTTATAGTTATTTGGCTCAGTGACATCTGAGATGCCCCAAGATGTGAACTATTTTATAAAGTAATTAAATCATAGAAACATGGGCTGGAAGGGATCATAGAGATCGAGACGAAGCTCCATATTTTATAGGTAAGGCTAAAAAAGTCAAATTTCCTACTGGGGTTATTGTGTACATACACATGCAAATAGAAGTAGACACCTTCATAGACATTTACTAATGCATATGAGATTTAATTTCTAATGTTCTTTCTTTAAAAACTTGTCTTTGATCATCATGCTATGAATTAAATTCTTTCTTCTTTTTTTCTTATTAATTCCACATCTCTTCTTTGTAATGCTCCTAAATGTCTTGTTCTCACTTCCTAAGGACAGTGGGTAATAAGGTGAGGGAATTTTGGCTTCTCTGCCCTTTTTGTTTTGTGTTCATTTTAACATTTAACTTTTAAGCGTTCCATTTTTCTTTTGTTTTTTTTTTTTTTTTTTTTTTTTTTTTTTGTGCTTTGTGATATCTTTGGTAGTGACCATTACTCAGATCTGTTTCAAACATAGAAGCAATGTGTTTTGAACGTTCAGCATGTGGAAATGTGGAGTTAGATGGTGAAACTCATCGTTTTATTTGTCTAGGCTTTCATAATAAATCACACTGGGGCCGACCAAGCAGATGTTCGCAAAGACTATTTAATTATCAGATTGACACATGTAAATTCATTCTTGGACCAGACAGGTACCTCCCTCTTTGAGGACGATCTGTATACATTTGCTGTTAGCAAGTTAATCTATATTTAAATGTCTGAGCTCCTCTGAGCAGCTCTCGTTACAAGCTCATTTGCATCTCCTCCTGTGCCCTGTGGAAGGGAGTCTGCTATGCGTGTGTACGTACACATCCACACAGATCCACACGCACGCACTCTGAGTGGACAGTCCAAGAGGAAAAGACCAAGAGAACTCTGGATGCTCCAAGTACCTTGAGAAGGAGCAGGTGACCCGTCACTCCCAAGATTCTGCGGAAGCAAAACTCAAGCGAGGCTTCACGAACTCATGATCCCATTTGTGTGTCTTACTTTGCTCTGCTTGGTTGCCCAGGACAAACTTCGTGTATCACATGGCACTCACTTAGAAAGTGTTCATTTGCTTGGGTGTATGTGCTGTGGTTGCAGAGGGAGTGTTAACGGGTTCTACTGAGAAGCCCTCTGTCTAAAACCCCTTCCCGACAGTACCGTGCAGCCCACCTGGGGCAGTAGGTGTCTGTCACTGAGTGTGTGTGTGTGTGTGTGTGTGTGTGTGTGTGTGTGTGTGTGTGTAGTTCTCTCTCCCTGGAGGATTTGCTCTTCCGGCTGCTGTCAGGCTCCAGTTTGTAGAGTAATGGTGGAGGAAGGCACTGTGGAAGAATGGAACTAGCCCCCAGCTGGGAGTCTAGGCTGGTCACACCATTGACTTTGTGACTTTGTGACTCTGGTCAGTCACTGAACTTCTCTGAACGAATATCACTTTTCTTATCAACACAAAAGGGGTGATACTGTGTATCAACCAGGGCACTGGTGGGATTTTAGATAGAGCAGACTGCTTCTTGAGGGTCATTTTATATGGTGCTCCCCAGACCTGAGGACAGTCAGCTTTCTGCTCCCCAGCTCCAGGAGCTCCAGGGGGGGCATCCTCTCCCTGACTGAGAATCAGTGGACTATATCAAGTTTCTGTCTAGTTGCAGAATTGTCTTCCACAGTCCACGCGGTTGGGGGCGGGGAGACGTTGCCTGATTCTCCTAGAGAAATGCCAGGGCACTTTCGATCATTCCCCAGACTCAGATGGCTGTAACTTGCAGCGTTTCAAGCCCCCCACCCCCACTACCCCTCCGGGTACAGCAGAAGCTAAGTGATGGAGGTTGTGCCTCCTACAGCTGCCTTTACCCACAGCCTGGTTGGGGTTCTACAGAGCAGTCAAGTACGCATAGAAAGAGGCAGAGGTCACAGAGAGCTCGGGGAACCATCCCTGAATAGCTCAGAGAGGGTCTCGTGTGCTGCTGGTGCTCAGCTTCCACGTATGCTGTAGCCAAGCAGCATGAACCTCTGGGCCAAAGCCACCTGGGATAATAAGACCAGCTGATGCTCTCAGAGCCAATCAGTAAATGTTTCCCAGGTCTTTTTATATTTCGTGCGCTTTCCAGGCCTCACAATTCCCACAACGGTCCCGAAGATAAGGAAGATGTCCCCCTTTTATAAGGGATAAGGAAACTGAGGTTCAGAGTGACCAAGTATTTTGCCCGGAGGATAAAGTCAGGTCGTGCAAGCGGGATTGCACCTGAGGGAGTGTGTTTGCAGAGCTGGCCTCTGGGGCGGGATTCCACAAGTGGAGGTGGTGCCAGTCACACCCCGTGCAGCAAGCCCGGCTTCCATCGCCCCCACTGCACATCCGCCTGGCATTCCATCAGTCTCTGTGGTTGAGGGAGGCCGCCTCCCTTCACCAGCACATAGTTCTTCTCATGCAACCCTCTGAGCTCCCTGCGGGGCTAGGTCTGCATGAGCTCTCATTCCCGGCTCCCTTTCCTTTTTCCTTCGCGGTGACGTTTCTCTGCTTTCCTCTCGACCCCAGCAGACATCTCAGCCAAGCCCTGGTGGTCAGTCTTCATGCAGCAGCCAACAGTCCCCCATCAGCAACTATTCCAACAGTGGGCTCGAGCTTCCTCTGACCGACGGCGGGGGTGTGGGAGACCTCGGGGCCATCGACGAAACCCCAATCATGGACTCGACCATTTCCACTGCCACCACGGCCCTCGCTTTGCAAGCCAGGAGGAATCCGGCAGGGACCAAATGGATGGAACACGTAAAACTAGAAAGGCTCAAACAAGTGAATGGAATACTGCCACGACTGAACCCCATTCTACCCCCCAAAGCCCCTGCAGTCTCTCCTCTCATAGGAAACGGTGAGTTCCGTGTCCTACCTCACGTCAGCTCAGGGCTGTCTGTTCTTTTCTGTACAAACCAGTGTGAGAGGAACCAGGCTTGATGTGTGTTGGTATGTCCCCTGGTCCTCACATTATACTGTCACCATACGTATGTGTCAGGGTTGCCTTTCTGGGGAGTCCATATTTTAAAAACAGGTAATAAGGGGATGATCCCGAAACAGAAAGTAGCACATAGGATAATACTGTGTGCATGACTACCGTTCTGATGGTGAGATTGTAGCTGTTAGACCAGGGTGGGGAGATCCCTGCAACAAAGACATTTGGGGTTAGCATTGCCATCTGGTTTCCAGTCTACAGTTGGGAGTTCCACAGCCACCTTTTTTTTTTTTTTTAATGTTTATTTATTTTTAAGAGAGACAGAGACAGTATGAGTGGGAGCTGGGCAGAGAGAGTGGGAGCTGGGCAGAGAGACAGAGATACAGAAGCCAAAGTAGGTTCCAGCCTCTGAACTGTCAGCACAGAGCAGGATGTGGGGCTGGAACTCACGGACCACGAGATCATGACCTGAGCTGAAGTCAGGCGCTTAACCTACTGAGCCACCCAGGTGGCCCAGTTCAGCAGCCACCTTGATTTGACGTTTCAAGGGAAGCCAGGCAGCCTTTTGCACTGGCAGACCCATGTCAGGTTTCGCTCCTGAGATTGCACTGAATAGCGGGGCATATCCTAAAGGGGGAACCTCCCCACCCACCAGCTCAGGCAGACTCCCCCTTCTCAGGATGTCCGAGGAAGCCCTCCGGTCCATATGACACTCCTGGAATGGCCTTGCCCTTGCCTGTAACCCAGGCACTGTGTGCACATCCCAGGACTCTTCATCTTGCCCTAGACCTCCACGTGTGAAGCCGCTTAACTGATCCAGGGTGATTTTACGGTTTTGTCTAAGCCGGGGGTCGGCCAGCTTTCCCGCCGACTTGTAATCCCGGGGCCTGTTCCACGTCACCCTGAAACGAATCCGTGTTTCCCACCCTCCCTCCGCAGGCACTCAGCCCAGTACCAGCTGCAGTTTGGGCGGGCCCATGACTCTGCTCCCGAACAGAAGCGACCTTTCTGGTGTGGACATCACCATGTTGAACATGCTCAACCGGAGGGACAGCAGCACCAGCACCATCAGCTCCGCCTACCTGAGCAGCCGGCGCTCCTCGGGCATCTCCCCCTGCTTCTCCAGCCGCAGGTCCAGCGAGGCGTCCCAGGCCGAGGGCCGGCCCCAGAACGTGAGCGTGGCCGACTCGTACGACCCCATCTCCACGGACGCGTCGCGCAGGTCCAGCGAGGCCAGCCAGTGCGAGGGCCTGCCCAGCCTGCTCAGCCTCACGCCCGCGCAGCAGTACCGGCTGAAAGCCAAGTACGCGGCGGCCACGGGCGGGCCGCCCCCCACGCCGCTGCCCAACATGGAGAGGATGAGCCTGAAGACCCGGATGGCCCTGCTCGGCGACGGCAGGGAGCCCGCGGTAGCCCTGCCCCCCGTCCACCCTCCGCGGAGGTGTAGCGACGGGGGCGCCCACGGGTCGGGCCGCCGCCCTCTACTGCCCCCGGACGTGCTGGGCAACGGCGTGAGGAGGGCCAGCGACCCGGTGAGGACAGTGTCCGAGAGCCTCTCCCTGCCCCGCGTGCAGCGGTTCAGCAGCCTCCACGGCTTCGACCCCCCAGGTTTGCCCCCATCCCTGGACAAGCGGAACTTAGTGCTTCAGAACTACACTCGGCCCGAGGGCGGCCCACCCCGCCACTTCCTGCCGTCTCCCTGCCCTCCGAGCATCACTGAGAACATCACCCTGGAGTCCCTGACCGTGGACGCCGACGTGAACCTGAACGATGAGGATTTCTTGCCCGATGACGTGGTGCAGTATTTGAATTCCCAGAACCAAGCGGGATACGAGCAGCACTTCCAAAGCGCCGTCTCTGACGACGGCAAAGTGCCCCCCGGGCCCGGCTTGGGGAGCGGGCCCGGGGACTTTGAGCCTCCTGGGCTGCCCGACGGCCACGCCGGCCAGCAGTACCGCCGGCTGGAGCAGCCCTGCACCGAAGCCAGCAAATCCGACCTGCCCATTCAGTGGAACGAAGTCAGCTCCGGCAGCGCCGACCTGTGCTCCTCCAAGCTGAAATGCGGCCCGCGGCCCGCGGCGCCGCAGCCGCGAGCCTTCGGCCTCTACGGCAACCCGGGCGCGCACCCACAGGACGCCTTGAGGAGCGGAGCTGGCCCAGCCGGGGCCTACCAGAGCCTCGCAGAGCCCGGCAGCTCCTACGGCGGCCCCGAGCACAGCGGAAACGCCTTCCACGCACAGCCCTACAAGGCCCAGCAGTACGGGAACTGCCTCAACAGGCAGCCGGGGGCGCCCGGCTTGCCTGACGGCGTCTGCGGGGCCGGGATTCCAGCGGCAAAGCTGAAAAGCACCTCAGCGCAGGGAAGCGGGAGCCAGCCAGAGTTTGGCCTGTCGCCGGGGGTGCCCGGCGAGTCCGCGGGCGCCGCGGTGAGTGGCATGGCCACCCAAGACCTGGTGGGACAGGGGTACCTGGCCCATCAGCTCCTCAGCGACAGCGTGCACCACCCAGGGGCCGGCCGCGGCGCTCAGCAGATGCTAGGGCAGGTTAGTGCTACCTCACACCTCAACGTCTATCAAGGGCCGGAGAGCGGCCTGCCGGGGCCTCCCTGCATCGGCAGTCAGCCGGCAGGCTTGGCGGCCGCCAGGGGCTACCAGCCGTGTGCCGGCTACGGGGGTGGCCGGCGCCAGGCTGCGCTGAGGGGCAGCCTCTCTCTGCAGCAGGGACAGCTCAGTGACACAAGTCAGACCTGCAAGGTGAACGGCATCAAGACGGAGATGCAAGGGCAGCCCCATCAGCTGTGTTCTAACGTGCAGGGTTACTCTGGTCAGTTCTATGACCAACCCGTTGGCTTCGGTCAGCACGACATGAAGACTGGTTCCTTCTCCATCTCGGAAGCCAACTGCCTGCTACAGGGGGCCAGCGCCGAAAACTCTGAATTACTTTCCCCGGGTGCTAACCAGGTGACCAGCACGGTTGACGGCCTTGACGGCCATGACCTGGAAGGGGTGCAGATTGATTTTGACGCCATCATAGACGACGGGGACCACGCCAGCCTGATGTCAGGAGCCCTGAGCCCCAGCATCATTCAGAACCTTTCCCTTTCCTCCTCCCGCCTCACGACGCCCCGCGCGTCCCTCCCGCTGCCCGCGCTGTCCGTGAGCACCACCAACATGGCCATCGGGGACATGAGCTCCTTGCTGACCTCCCTCGCGGAAGAAAGCAAATTCCTTGCGGTTATGCAATAGGGCGTTAGGGGAGAAGGCTGCCAACCAACGTGAAACTTTAGGAGTTTAAAAGATTAAATGGACTCAGTTTTTTTGTTTTTTTGCTGTTTTTTTGTTTTGTTTTTAGTTCTGTATGTATTTTAGCAATTTCATCTCACCTAACTGGGATGTGTTTCAAGTATATTCCTTTTATGGAAAAGGACTCTGAACAACCCTAAAGTATTCTAGGGAGAAACTGTCTTCCATTTCAGTTTTGAATCAGTATTGTTACACTAGAACCATCCTCTTTTTTTTTTTTTTTAAACTATAAGCCCATCCCCCTTTCTAGTAAACCAGTGTAAATGTGCGATGTGCATGTTCTCATTTCTTTTCAAAGAGAGGTCAGACGAAAGGATTTGATATGTTTCTCTGTTACTCAAAGGAAATAGGAGTTGGTGTGCTTTTTGACCGAGGGGTGATGCTTCAGCTTTTCAGATTTCCCTTTACATGTGCTCTGTGTTTGTTTTTGGTTTTTTGGAGGGTTTTCGTTTTGTTTTGTTTTTGTTTTTGGTAATTCCCACACTGGGCACAAGAATCGGAATAAGGATAGTGAGTTTAAGAGAATCTCTGGTGGGGGCGCTGTAGCAGAGATAACCGATTTTTTTTACCTGCTCCCCCTCTCCTTGCACCCCGTTCAGGTCAGGGCATGCTTTCAACACTTGCACACAGCGGGAATTTGGGGCTCTGGCAGATGAACTAGTTTGTTCACAGTTGGGGTTTAGAATTCTCCTGTCCGTGAGTGCACTCAGGGCAGGTACGTCTACACGCTCAACTCCTCAGTTATCTGTCTTGCTTTTTCTCCCTCCGTCCCCATGACCGTTCGATGCTGTTCCGCGCTCCAGGGAGAGAGGGGAAGGGCCACGAGTTTGCTACTTGCATCTGTCCCGACGAGAAGTTAGGTAGATTGTAGAGTGAAGCTACTGGGTAGAAATAGTTGGGGGAACATTTGTGGGTTTGCTGTATTTGTTAATGATAGTTCCATCTCTTTACCCGTTGTCATAGGTAACTGAGAATTGATTATATATAGTTCCAAGTATATAGGTATTGAAACAACCCGGCAGCCGCCTATGTCATTGCCATATATTAATTCCACTGTAGTGAAGGAGTATTTCTATTCTAAGTGCCCTATTTTAAGGGATTGGTAAAACTTAGTTGTGAAAGGAAAAGCTCACATATGATGACCTTTGGAATAAATCCCTTTAACAATTGTTAGTGTTTAAGAGCACTGGGGAGGACGGTTAGTAGCTGTGTGGATGGATGCCTTTTCTTACACCCAGTCTATTAAACGATGCATCCATTTAAGAAGTTAAATGTTCTATGCAGTTAGTCCTGAATGTGGACTTAATTGGTACTTTCGTTTTGGATTAAAACATTTTAAAGACTAAAAGGAGTACAGCTACTTCCCATGTGCAGTCGATACACATAAAAGACATACTATGTGTGCACAGAGTACATGGATTATCCAGCATTTCACATTTACAAATATGTAAACTATTAATAATAAAATATTAACACCTCAGACTACCTGCTCCTTTTTTCCCATTGACCCTGGACTTGGATTTATCCAGAGTGATTCATGAGTCAATTGGGTGGCTTTTTCCCTTTATTCCTGCCATTTGAATTAGTATTAGACAAAGTCAAGTAAAATAAAATAATAGGTCATAGGAAAACAAAATGTTAGATCCAGCCCGTTTTTCTCACGTTTGTGTTCTCTCATTTGGACCAAGAATCTCAGCATGGAGGTAAACGTGCCCTTTGGGACTTTGTGGCTAACAAAGTTGGGTTTGCTTTCAATTGGATGTTCCTGAAATCAAGAGGGATGTTGAGACCCTTCCCGCCCACAGCCAGCACCTACTTTTAGGTCAAAGGATGCATCTGCTGTGGAACAGAGCCCCAAAGCAAAAGACAGCTACTGATCTGAGCTCAGTGGAGTGGAGTCTACCAAGTTCCAACAGAAAAGAGCCAGGCATTTTCCTCACACAGGTCAGGATCCGGTCACAAAATCAGCGATCCATTCCCCGAGTCTCCTTTTTCCACAAACCCGAGCATCTCCAGGTCTTGATCTTACATGCTCTCACGGTTTGGTCTGACCCCCGTCCTCCCTCTGTCTCAAAGCTTGGGTCCCGGGCGTTCTCTCGTCTCCCGAGTGAGGACAGCGGGTCCCTGGCACCACGCGGCCCTCCCCAGTAAAATTCCCAGAGGCGACCTCCATTTCTTAGTTACCATCGTTTCCTACGTCACCCTCGTCCTTCGTGGAAGGATGGACGGCAGCTGGGTGAGGACCATTGTCATCTTGTGCCTCTGTTTTCCTTCACCTCTTCTTTTCCTACTTTTACCTTCTACCCTTAGATTTGCAGGAGATACTCTTGCTTCAGCTCCACATTTGGCTTCTCTCCATGGAAATCTCAGAAAGAGGGGGACGAGGGGAGAGGGAGGAAGAAGGCATACTTTTCCAGGAGAGCAGTGATGCTGGACAGTCAGTGGAAGGAGGGTCTGTCGGGGCCACGTACAAGTCTGTGGACTTGGTGTCAGCTGGGACAGGACCCACCCCAGCCTCCAACCTTCTCTCTGCTTTCCTGCCCCGCGCGTTGAGGGAGACAGCAGCAACTGCCTAGTTTCACATCCTGCCTTTCAATGCAGGCTCGTACATGGTCCTCCTGTTGAACATCTGTGTTCACCATAGTTTCACAGGTTAAACCATTCCGTGTTCTTTTCTGGAGAGCTGACGAGACTGCACCCTGCTCCTCATATATTGGCTCATCCTCTCGAGCCGCAGTTGTGATTCTTGCGATGTATGTGCCTTATTTTATGTTAATCTCGTCGATGCGAGGGACCAGTTGGTGTCGCCCGATGGATGGACCGGGGCTCCGGGCCGCGCGCTCCCCGGCCGGCCGCGAGCACACGATTGTAGCCGAGTCTGAGCTGTCTTGTAACCCGGTTTCCCGTGTTGTTTTGAACTGATGGAGGATGTTCTCTTCTGACAAGTTACCGTTGTGTATCCTGCAAACGTGTAAAATAAGATACAAGTTCATTTTTTTCGCCTTTTTTAGATTTTTAAAAAAATAAAACGTGTAATCCTTTTTTAAAAGAAAACACCTGTAAATACATTTAAGGATTGTAGGCGTAGTGTTCGGATGTGGCCAGCCCGGGGCCGTCTCGGATCAGCCTGCAGCCGTGCGGTGAGGCCCCCAAGCCCACCTCATGCCCAGGGCTGCGGTCCCGCCACGCGTGGACTCTACTTTTGCTTTCAGAACCACCTACTCCTTTTGTAACAAAAAGAAAGAACCATGTTTCTTACACTGTCAATAAAAAACGCTTTGTACTGAAATTGTTCCAGGGTCGTTTCTTTGATCCGTAGCTGAAGGGAGAGCGGCTTCCCTGGGAAGGATCCAGAGCTTGTGTTTGGACCCAGACCCTACCCGCCCCCACTCCCACCCCACCCCCACACACACAGACAAGCTGAGTGCGCGTCTGTCCTGACACTCCCATTCCTCCTCCCCAAATTGGGGTGCTGATGCACCTGCCGGCGGGGATGTCCGTGAGGGTGCCTACCTGGGAGGCACGCCGGTTACGACCATAATCGTTTTCCTTCATTTTATCCCTTCACCAGACTCTGGGGAAAGATGCGAATAAGGTTTGATGTCTAACAACTAAACTGGTTTCTCTTTTATAAGTGATCCTCTCTCTTCAAGGGATATAGGGGATAATGCACGTGGCCCTCGAGCACACGCTTGTAGGTACGTCAGCAAGTCCCCAGGGGACTTCCATCCTGTGGGAGACCCAGGTGTCCCGCTGCATCTCCCAGCAAGGGATTCTGCAGTCATAGGGACTCTTTGAGCTTTCTTAATTCACAAGGGAGGACTTCTCTCATGAGCCCCGATGTCTTTGCTTCCATAACTAGAGCCCTCACGTAAGGCATCCACATGAATACAGGAAAAAATAAAAAAAAGAATTTGTTCTCCACTTTCAGTAAAAAATCGTTGGCTTACAAAGCCGTATGCCGTGGAGTAGGTCAAGGTAAAGTACGACACGCAAGGTTTATAGACAGGACGGGAGGAAAATGGGGTTCCCGAGGAATGGGGCACATGCCATAGATTCAGTTCATGTGAGCGGGCAGTCGGGTGCAGTTCAAGGCTTTGTTTAAAGAAAACACCTTCTGCTGGGGGCGCCTGGGTGTCTCAGTGGAGCATCCAACTTCGGCTCAGGTCATGATCTCACGGTTCGTGAGTTCGAGCCCCGCGTTGGGCTCTGTGCTGACAGCTCGGAGCCTGGAGCCTGTTTCACATTCTGTGTCTCCCTCTTTTTCTGCCCCTTCCTGCTCACACTTTGTTTCTCTCTCTCTCAAAAATAAATAAACATTAAAAAATTAAAAAAAAAAACCCACCTCCCATGTAGACTCAGAAGCAGAGTTTGAGGTGAAATGGTAGGGGTGCAGTCTATTCGGCATTTCATAAAAGTGTAGGTAATTTGGGGAACCTAAAGATGTTCTGTATTACCCAAATGAGAATTTAATAAGAGAATGCTAGAATAGATGGAACAATTAATCCACTGCCAAAATATCTTATTCATCCTTTTCTCTGTTTTTTTTTTTTTTTTTTTTTTTTTTTTTTTTTTTTTTTTTTTTCCTTTCCTTTTCTGGGCAGCTTTCCCCCTTTGGTTTTAATTCATAATGGACTTACTATTCCAAGGACAATCTGGGCCCATCTTTCTGTTAATATTAGCTTAAAAAAAAATCTCACTTTACCAACGTAGACCTAGATCATGCCTCCTCTACCTAGTTATTCAACCTCTTTATACTTTTCAGAAATAGTAATTGAATCTAAACTGTTTTTTTGGCTTTTTAAAATTTCCCCGGCATTATGTGGCCACAGGCATGATTAGCCCAGCAGAGGCGTGGGATCCCGGGTTCTATACGTCGTCTCACCTGAACCGGAATCTTCCACTTCCCCTGCGGTTTCCACCCTTCCCTCTCGACACCCACT